ATGTGGCATGGGGACAGCTCCCTATCTCTCATTCTTTCTCTCTCTCTCACTACACTTTCTCTTCTCTCCAGCCACAGTTTGTTAAATCTAACTCTGAGTACTCTATGCAAGTTTAAAGTCTATGAAAAGAAGCTCTCATATATCTCACATATCTCTTATGTTTCAATTCCAACATTCTTTTCTACTCCATATACCCGCTTTCACTCTCTGAGCGTGTATATGAATGCCAAAAAATGCCGCTAAGGAATTGACCAACGCATGTTGCTCTTTTTTTCCTGTGGTTTCTCTCTCTCACTCTCTCTCTCTCTCTCTCTCTCTCTCTCTCTCTCTCTCGCTCTTTTGTTGTCGTTCTTGTTGTTGTTCATTTGATTATCGCCACTGTCGCCGTGTAATTTATTATATTGACTTTCTGGGGGACTCTGAGCCGCCAAGTTGGCCCTTATTTTTATGGCTTTAACCTTTTGCCAACCGCCGCGTTGCTGACATTATTTAATTTGTCATTTAATTCTGTTGATGCCTTCTGTTGAGCTGAGCGAGCGAGCGCAGCCCGAACAGCTTTTGACCATCCCATACACTCCATATGTTGCTTGCGCGTGTGTAATGGAATATGCGCATGTCTCATATGTGTATGTGTGTGTGCGTGTGTGTAGGGGGCATTCGCAAGTTTATGTTGCCTGCCTTTGACTTTTTGGCCTACATATGCTACTTCCTTTTAACTGAAAATGAGCTGCAAATAATTTGTGGCTTTCTCTATACATTTGACTTCTGAGAAGCGCAAAGAAAGGCAGCAGCAGCTGCAGCTGACAGTTTCTGTTACATTTTAGCTGTAGTTCAATTTGATTGGCCGCATATATTTTTTTTATTTAAATGAAAGTCCGTTTTATTCCCTTAATCATTTTATTTGAGAAATCAAATTTATTTGCCATACTTTATTCAACTTTGAAGCGCTCTTCACAATGCAACAGCTGTAATGCCTTTTTTGCCTTAATCAAATTTAATTTACAATATAATTGGCTCATTTAATCATGCGCTTTTGCGGTCTGTCGAGTATCACTCACAGTTTTAATTAAAATGCCTTTAATATCAATAAATAATTCAAGTCAGCTCGTTGACATCGAATAACTTTCGAGCCAAATACTCCTTTTAATTAATTGCATTTAATCAAATTTCGAGCTGTGTCGCCAAATCGAACGCCCACAAAAACTAAAAATCTGCTCCCCACTCGGCCGCCCCAAAAATGGCTGCGAAAAATGCGCTAAATCATTTTTTAATTGCTCAATTTGAAAACAAATGCGAGCGATTTAATTTAATTGTGTGGACTGTTAATTGAGTCGTATTTGGACCGTTTTTGCTTTTCGCTCGCTCTGCACGAATGGCCSAATGGCCRAATGGTTTGGCCACGCCCATTGGCGCCTTCGATACGCTTGTTAGATAAAAGCTAACTGAACAGCAGCATGTCGTTGGCAACTTGCTGTTGCAGTTCATTTTCGGCATTTTTGTGGGACAATTAAAAATGCAACTGTGCGACAGTCTGTGGACAAATGCTCAGCTGCAACGCCAGAAGGCAACAACAGTTGCAGCCGTGCACTAGCAGCACTGCCAGCAGTTGCAGCGTGTGGGCCAATTTTCGTATGATTTACAGCAGTTAGAGGGGAGAGGCAGCGCGCAGGCGGGGCAATCCAGTTGATGTTGAAATTAGCATATGGAAAATGCATTATGCGATAATGCGCCATAAACGTCGCCAAATCGAAATTGTGTGTCGACTTTTGAACATGTCGAGTTAGACATGAGCTTGCAAATGTTGCAGGAGGAGGAGGAGGAGGAGGAGGAGGAGTTCAGCTCAGCTCAGCTCAAACTCCAAACTGGCTGGCCATAAATCTGCATTGAAGGGGGCGGTTGATGGCGAGGGGGCTGGGCAGGCGAGCGATTGGCTGCTGGCTGTGTCGCATCATCAATCATGTTGGCGCAGATCGATTATTACAATTGCTGACAGACGAGCGAGGCAAGTTGGCGGCGGTTGCATCTGCGGGCAGCCATTTGTATCTGATGGATGTATCTCGAATGCCTCCTGCTGCTGTTGATGCTGCTGCTGCTGCTGCTGCTGCTGCTGTGGCATGCAAGCCCAGTTTACATTTCCATGGAAACTTGTGCATTTGCACAGCTGCAACAGTTTTGCCTCTCGGCTGCTGCTGCTGCTGTTGTTGTTGTTGTTGTTGTTGTTGTTGTTGTTGTTGTTTTCGTGTCAAGTCCTAAAAGTTCCAAGAAAACCAAAAGTTGTTTTTTTTTTTTGCCATGTTCTATGCCAAAATGTGACGAGCCATACGTACAGCTAGCCGTCCATTGTCCAAGCTGGCCAGCACGAAATTATTTTAATGAGTTGCCAATTAGACTGCACCATACTGAACCCAAATAGATCAGCGACTTGGCCACTGCTAATAAATAGCTGACCAGGTCGACTGAACAGCTCAACAGCTATTCCCGCTCTCTCTTACTCTCCCTCTCCCTGTCTCTCTCCAGCTGACTGTTGCCATTGCGTGAAGCAACGCACACCTGTTGCATGTTGCTCGGCTGTTTGGAGCCCCTTTGGCGAATGGCGAATAAATAAGTTAAGTAGAGTCAAGTAAAGGGCTCCCCTCCCCAAAACGGGAGTCTGTTAAAGCCAAGCAACAGCAACAGCCATGCCAATGGCAATGGCAACGGCAACTGGGCCATAACTTGCGTCAGTCCCAAGTGGAACTTTACGATCCTGTTGCCAACATGCTTGTCTGACAGCATCCGACAACAAACTCAGCGGGCTCGAGTTTAATTCCCAACTCTCCTCTAGCCAGGGCTATTCACTTTGATATCTTGTCAGTAGAAAATCGGAAGTTAACTACAGAGGAGCAGCCGCCGTTGCGACTTTACATATGACCAAAGCTGTTCCTGATTGTCGAATATTATGAGCCCTATAGCGGCACTGCTAACTAGTTTCTTTAGCTGCTTTTTTATTGGTCTACGGGCTTAACAACTTGCCGCAATTAACGCGCTTTTTTCCAACACTTTCATGAGGCGCCGCTTATTAGACCATTTCCGCTGACCCAGCCACGCCCACATCCTCATTTCACAGAGAGAGAGAGAGAGAGAGAGAGAGAGAGAGAGAGAGAGAGAGAGAGAGAGAGAGAGAGAGAGAGAGAGAGAGAGAGAGATAGAGAGTGAACGAGTGTGCACTAAATTACTTTCCATTCGTTCTCTTTGTTATTAATTACGCTGCGCACCGCGTTCGCCTCGTGGCTAAGTTTTCGGCCAATTGAATTATTACGCGCAAGACAATGGAAGGTCGCTCTGACCAAGGGTCAGCAGGAGGCGGCGGGGGTTGGCCGGCCATAGCGGAAGCTGGGCCAAAATATAATGGCATTTGCTTTCACTATAGCACCGTCAGCATAAATATTTAAACAGCTGACAACTGGGATAACGAGATAGCTGCCAAGGTGACCCACCTGATCACTTGACGCACAAAAACCAAAGAAAAGTGAACAAAAAAAACAGCAACCCACATATTTCAAACGAAATAGGCTAAAGTTATGCTGTGCAAGGGTCCATTCCTCAAACTCATTCAAAATTTAATCTATGAGCTAATTATATGCTCTACTAAGTTTTATATGTCCGACAATACCGAATTGCTGTGAAGTTTGCTGTGAGATGAGATGAAGGAGAACGATGTTACGTGTAGGAAATGTTTGTATATATTTTGTATGTTATAAATAGTAATACTATTATAGTATATATATGATTGAACAGCTTCAGCAGTCAATGAACACCTCAGCTGAAAGCCAGTCAATTTATCATAGACTTATCTTATATTGGTCATCTATATATTAAATATATATATATAGATGGCCAATATAAGATAAGATATAGAAAATATCCTTCAATTTCTAAACCTATTCCAAAAATCAGCTCACTCGATTTATCATTGACTCACCTTCATATTGCTCTTCTCTTCATCTCTCATTGACTCTATAGAGTATACAGTATTCAGTTAGTGGGCTCAACTCTACTCTTAGAATGATTTTCGGCTACTTGAGCTTATCTGCTGCTTGATGCACGGAGCTATTACAATTTTCGCCGGCTTTTATCAAAAGGACGTGGAACGTGGCAATTGCGAGGGCTGTCTGTAATATTTATATGCGTGTTGATTTCTGTTTGCTGAAATTAACCTTTTTGGCATAGTTACCACCACCTCAGCAGCTTTGCACCCTCGCCCCCTCGCCCCTCCAGCCCGCTCAGCCCTTTGCAGATGCCCGCAGCTAGATAAAGTCTAGGCCGTAAAAGGGTCAAAACGCAGTCGCATGTGTCTCGCTACATCGACTGACTTCTGACCCTTATTGTCCACACGGCCGTAGCCTCCTGCCTGCTTGCTTGCCTCATTTAGCTGAGGCCATAAATATTCTAAATCACCAGCGGGGCCAATGTCGGCTGGCAGCCTCAAGTTGTTAAGATAATAAAGTTTGTAATTAATTTTGCATCGTTAAATGAGTGAGAGTGAGAGAGCGCAGGCTGTGCTGAAAAGCGTGAGAGAGCCCAAGAGCAAGAGAGATAGAGAGAGAGAGAGAGAGTGAGAGAGAAGCTTGCAATTTTCTTGTTTAATTTCAGTTTTGAGAACAGTTTTAATCGTCTGCACATCACCAACTTCTTTGATGGCGCCTAATTGACTTCACTCACGAATTTTCATTATACGTTCCACTTGCATCTTGTTCTTCTACTTATCTTTCTGCTGCTTTTACAGCTAGTCAACGAAACACCTTTCTGATACATATCTATCTATCTAGTATCTTTATATACATATTCATAACCTGCTTTTTTTCATCATTTTTGTATAAATTTATCATTTTTATCGCCATCGCGCTATAAAAATTGCATAATCATAAAAGCATTACACCTGCCTTCCCGGCCGGATCATCTGGTGTGCGTACTCATTTCATTTGTGTTTTAATTGAATTTGTTTTATGGCTCTCTTGCAGATACCACTGGCGAGCTTGGATGGGTATTCACCCTAATTGTAGTCTCAATCATATCGGGTCTTATAGGTGCTATTGTAATGGTCATATTTCTAAGATGTAGAAGGTATGTATGGCTATATAATATTGTTCGAATGTGATAACTGTGTTAGCACCATTTTTGGGGCAATAAAAGCCAGCTAGCAAGCGCATAAATTTACAATTCAAATTAATTGGCTAAGACAAACAGCGRGCAATAAATAAAAATGCTAATAAATAGACACATTTTGGCATTTAGCTAGAAAAATACGACAATTAGTCATCATAAGCATATATCTTGCCACACATACTCTATGCCCATATAGAAAACGTGTTCGATATGAGTGCCTCAGTGCCTGAGTGCCTGAGTGCCCAGTCTCTGCTCTCCCATAGCCACGGACGTTCAACTCAGACCTCAAGCCGACCCCAGCGATCCGTCATGCAGCGACATTTACACAGCGCCAAGACAAATTGAATATATGTACAGGCAGTGCGAATATGTAATATATGTATGTTTGTATGTACATACTTATATATATTGCTAAATTTACAATGTATTTGCCCACACAACAGCGAACGGCAATTCAATTAAACGCCCACCGAAAGCAGCCTTTGAAGCGCCCCCTAGCGGCCAGAATAGCGGCACAAATAATCGTGGCACAAAACAAAAGAACATGAAATTGCTTTATTACTTAATTGCTCTTTAAAATAAACACTCACAACAACAATTATGCGAGGCAGCGTACTTGCCACAGGCCATGCTTTTGTAGCCATAGAGTGGGTCACTCACTCACTCACACACTCACACACACACACATAATCGCGACAAGATACATTTAAATGGACATTCATTTGCCGATTCCATAGGCAAATAAGTTGTGTCAAGTGCAGGGGCTGTGCGGGCAGCGCAGGGGCGAGTGTGCGCGGGCGTGGGCAACACGCGAGCTCCAAAATTAACCAAACTTTTCGTTTGCGCAGGCGCCGCTGTCGACGTCGACGTCGACGTTGTTGCCTTTCAATCGAACGCTAGCCACATGTCGCGTCCAATTAAATTGTCATGTTGTTGTATTTTGGCGGCATGTTTGCATAAAATTAATTTCGCAAATAATTTGCCAAAGCAAAACAAACAAATGCACAAGGCAACAAACACAATGCCAAGACAAGTGAAAAACAATTGGCTTGAGCAGTAGACGACTGCGAGAATACCCTATAGAGATTTAACAGTAAATAAAAGCAGGCCAATTCAGCTGTGAGTTTGCTTGAGTTGAGTATCAAAAAGAGCAGAGAATATGTGTGAATATATGTATACAATATTACATTATATTTATATACATATATATTGTGTGTGTGTATATATAGTAAAAATATATCAACTGTTTATAGTAGCTCAAAAATTGCTGATAAATATGCTTATATAGAATTTTCATATAATTTTTTCAATGATTCATAATCAAGTGACACATGTTATTAGATATTTGTACAGCTGCATAGCCTGGATATACTAAACAGCTGCTAAAATATAGCTATGGCAAGAAGAAACCTTATGCCTTATGCCTTAAGCTACGCTCACTGTGTGGGGTATATTAGCACAGTCCAACAATCGAAACAGCATCGAAGCACAGTCAGCAACTAATATATCACAGACAGTTCAAATCAGCTGGATATGCAGTTTGGACTCTGAGTTGGGGTTTGGGTATGTGGWGTGGGTYCTCATAACTGTTACACGATKCATGTTTGGCTACGCATTCACACGCTGCTGGTGTAGCTTAGATTTGTCATTATTTAAGCTGGACTCGGGACAGACACATGTGGTGGCTGGCCTGCCCCCTCCACTCCGATTGCTGCAGCAATCGGATTGTCACGCTGCTCACCTTGCCGTCAGCTTTAGTCAGTCAGTTAGGCCGAGTTTTGTGTTAGTTGCTGTTTTTGCAACCGTTTCATGTTAGTGGGGTTTGGGTTCGGGTTCGGGCGTCGTGCTCGGACGTGTTGGCTGCCAAATTAGCGGCAATTACATGTAATATCGGTTACACTTATTTGCATATTGATGCAGTTCTCGATCGGCTAATGGCGCTATAAATTTGCTCGGCACATGTTGCAGCGCAGTTGTCGCAGTTGCTGCAGCTGGTAGTTTGTGTTTCTGTTTTTTTAGGTTTTTTTTTTTTTTCGTTCGACTCATGATTTGTTAGTGGACACCTTAGAAGTTGAGTTTTAATGGCACCTGCCATTCGGGCTGACAATGTTTGCTCAGTGTCTAGACACTGTAATGGCTGGCAATGCGGTTAACTTTAAAATGTCTTTTCGCCGAGCCACTTGTCGGAAAGACTCAAAGTCGTCCCATTGATTTGAAATGTTGACTGTGCAGCTCGAATTACTTGCAGCTCAGCCAAGTGACGAGCGTTAAATAAATGATGTTGCGCCAGTTGATGGCCACTAGAACAACACAGATCTACAATTCTTTTTACACGGCAAGACATGTGGACGCTAAAGCAAGTTGATTTTAACTAAGTAAATCATGTTGTTCTCGGTAGATGAGTGCTCTGAAGTGACCTAGTTTCTTGGGGTTTCAGTTTAACTACGTGTATTTGACTAATGTTAGATTAGTTAGGTAGATTGTAGTTGAGCTTGCTTAAGTGCTGGGAGTGGACTGTTGATGCTGAATAGAAATTTAGTGCTTTTCTTGGGGTCTCCTTCTGCTTTTTATATACATTTGTGTTATATGCATTTAAGGCATATCAAGACTTGGCATATTCAACGTATCATAATATATAATATATATACTGACTAATAAGAGCAGTGACAAATATAATTTCCTTCACTTCTATATACTAATAATATGTATATAAATATATATTCTACTAGAGACTTCTAGTTTTCTCTACTCAAAGACTCATATAATTACTTGGGTATAATAATATAATAAAGCATATTCATATGTGAGGTGATTCAGTAGTAGTGGGCATCTCCGACTCTATACCACTCTCATTTCTTTAATTACTCTCAGAACACTGCCAATTGGAATCTTTCGGTTTCGTTTCTCATCTCACATGCCGACTGCATCTCATGCCGCTCGTACAGCCTCTCTGCTGGAGCTTCACACGTGTGAAGTACTTAGCCGATGAGCCACAGTCGGTCGAAGCGATTCTCTCGCTGTCCAACTTCGTTTTTTGTACGAGCTGCTACTACTAATACTCTCCCTCTCTTTCTCTATCTCTCTTTCATTTAATACTTCCTTCATAGCGCAATGCTACTAAGCAGCTCTTCAAGCTGGTCTTTCTCTAACACTAATCATCCCATATGCAGTCTCTTCAGCTACACATATCCATTTCGCATTAGATTTAATTGCTTAACAATAAACTTAGTTCAACTGCTTTTCCGCCCACACATTTAGAGCCAAGGCAGCTAGCCCACTTTCAGTTTTGGCAACAACAATGTTAAATTGCACAAAATTGTCGCTGCGTGCTCGCATTTGCTATTTTGATAGAAAACCAAAAAAATTTCAAGTTGAAAACGTTTAAGGCAGCTGCAACAGCGCCGAGCTACATAAAAAGGCGTGTTCAATTAGCATGCTTGGAGCTCGATAGCGAAAAAAGCAGAATAAGAAAAAATAGAGAAAAAATGAGCTGCTGACGAAAAACAAGCACCGTAAATTGAACATAAAGGAAAAACACACAAAAAAAATTGCAGAAAAATAAAAGAAAAACATTTGGAAAATTAGCGCAGAAGCAAAGGCACGGCCCCCAAGACGACGATGACTGGCTCGAACGGTGAGCTTGTTCACTTTAATTGAATTGCAAAAAGAGAAAAAACTCATACACACACACACACACACACACTAATATATACGAAGAAATCAAAAGCAGGCAAATGCGAATCAAAAAATCGAACTAGACTCGGCTCAGCTCCAGTTAACATTATAATCGATCAAGGCAAAGCGAGGGGCAACATTTAGCCGCATGCCGCGCTGCACTCAATCAAACGGACGGAGCTTACAAGCGGACGGACAGCGGACGGTTAATTGATACGCACAATCTATATCCATTAGGTTCGTGCTTGAAGCTTGACCCAGAAAAACGGGGCAAGTGCAWATGCGGCGGGGCCAAAGTTAATGGCAATGAGCGAAAACAGTTAGAAGAGGTAGAAAACGGCTTGAAGTCAAATTGAAAGCAGAATTTGTGGAACAGCAGGCAACGAGTGGTAACAAGTAAACGACATCCACATTCAAACCGAACAGAGCAGCCCACAAATCGGCCAAGATAATCCGGTTCAGCCTCTTCGCGGCTCTGTGCTTATCCGCAGATTTCTAGCGCTAATCTAATCTGCAACGTTTGTGTTGCAACAAATGGTGGTTGTTGCTGTTGCAGTTGCTGTTTCTGTTGTTGCTGCTGTTGCAATTGTGTTGAATTCTTATCGGCTCATACATATATTTTGCGGTAGTTTATCTGCGTGTCACACGCAAAAAACAAAAAAAATCCAATTTTTATTTGCGTAGAACGAAGTTTGTGTCCTAAGTCTTTCGTTTTGGCATTTGCCATTCGTTGTCCGCTGGCTTGGCATTGAACAATTTGACATTTTGCTGTGCGCTAATTTATGTTTAGCCATATTTTGCTGTTATTCTTAAACGCCAATTTATGTTTATTAATTGCAACATTCTGTTCGCTTCTTATCTTTGCAGAATTAAATCAGCGAATGCCAATGGTAAGTGCAAAATCCAGTTGCTGGACCTAAGACGGGGGCTTGCTATATACAAATACAATATATATATTTATATAAA